TTTCCCTTATGAAATGGAGGCTGAGGAACAACAACAACAAAAAAAGATATGGCCAGAAACCATGAGCATATCATTATAACAGATAAATGCATGCAGTGAATTTTTGCTTTCTTATCCTGTGATTGGGTTTGGCAGTTTAACATGTTTCTGCTATTACCTGGCAGTATTTGCATATGTCAGTAAAGACAGTTTTGACTTTTAGAGTGTCGTTGCATTTAGGAATATTGGCCATGCCTTGGAATGGCGTTGTGAACAGATTTTACTATTCTTTCCAATGGGAGGATTGGTTGTATACAGATGCCGGCCTTTATAGATAAATTCCATTTGGGAACAATGTCCCCTGGATCTCATTGCTACAGGCAGTGCAAGATTTATCTCATTTACTTCAACCAAGATGTTTTAACCATCTGCTTTCAGTAAAAAGAACAGAGTGGCTGACTGTTTTGGTTCCTAAAGGTTTTGGTTTTGAGGTGGCTGGGTGTGGTAAAGAGAGTCTTGGGTCTGAAATCTACATTTGTGATTTCTTGCTGTAAGAACCTGTTAGATTATTAAATTGCCCTCTAATTCTTGAGGCGGCCCTTAAATAGGAGGATGATAGTACCCATTTCACACAGTGTTTGTGGGAGTCAGTGAGATGAAGTCTATAATAAGAATTCAATAAATTCTGGTTAAGTGTAATTAAATAATCAAAAGGGCATTTAATAAGTGCTCAATCATATGTCTCAGGATTTACAGAAAGTGAACTTCAGAGGTCGGAGAATTTTATTTCCTCTAGGAGGATCCAAGTTCAGAGCCACTGAGATATCTAGACTAGCTGTGAGGTGACCTGAGTGCAATTTCTAGCTCACATTGTGATTTTGGGCACCTCTGCATACCTCCTGTGCCTCATTCCCTTGTTTGCCAAAGACATTGGACAAGGTGACTATTCTCTAGACTTTGATTTTCCGTAACATGTGTACTTATACCTTCAATGCACATGGACAAAAGTACAATAGGACAAGCTACAAAGATTTAAGGTTAGCTCTGTCCAGTTGCTCAGTGTTTAGAGCAGGGGTGGGCATACTTTTTGACTCGAGGGCCACAATGGGTTCTTAAACTGGACCGGAGGGCCGGAACAAAAGCATGGATGGAGTGTTTGTGTGAACTAATATAAATTCAAAGTAAACATCATTACATAATGGGTATGGTCTTTTTTTTTTTTTAGTTTTATTCATTTCAAACGGGCCAGATCCGGCCCGCAGGCCGTAGTTTGCCCACGGCTGCCCTGGACCAAAGGGTTTGATTCCCTGTTAAGGACACATGCCTCAGTTGTAGGTTTGATCCCAAGACCCTGTCAGGGCTCATGCAGGGGGCAACCAGTCAATGTATTTCACATTGATGTTTCTCTCTCTGTCTGTCTGTCTGTCTCTCTCTCTCTCCCTGTCTCCCTCCCTTCCTTCATCTTTCCCACTCTATGGAAATCAATGAAAAAAAAAAAATCCTTGAGTGAGGATTAATTTTATTTATTTTTTAAAGGATTATGAATTTATTAGATCATCTGGAAAACCAGATGGTCTGAGCCCCAGAATGGCACCAGGCTTGGGTAAAGATTAAAAAAAAAAGATATATGGCTAGATTGATTTAAATATATTTTTATTGATTTCAGAGATGAAGGGAGAGGGAGAGAGAGAGAGAAACATCAATGCTTCCTGCATGGCCCCTATTGGCGATCAAGCCCACAACTCAGGCATGTGTCCTTGACCAGAATTGAACCCAGGACCCTTCAGTCCACAGGCTGACGCTCTATCCACTGAGCCAAACCAACTAGGGCAATTTTTTTTTCTTTATATAAAATTTAGAGCAATTACCTTTTAGAGCTTTAAGACAAAGGTAAGTTCATAATTGCATTAGAAATCAGAGTGATGGGTTGAGGAGAGTGAAAGCTCACACCAAGATGTGAAATTGAAAAAGATTTTCTAGAGAAAATTGGATCTAATGCCATTTAGAAAAAGTAGGACTCTGAGAACTAGAGAATAATGATGTTAAAAGCTCATGGTATTGCTTTGATTTGAGTGGACAGTGTGCTCCCAAGGCATGCAAAGGGGTTAGGACGCATGCAAATACAAATACAAAAGTGGGTGTGGGGCCAGCCTGTTCTCTGTTTCTACCCCTACCCCTCCCCACCAGTCTCCATGTGGCTCTTCTTTAATTCCCTAGTTGTAGGACTTATATTCAGCCAGATTTTAGCCAGTTCTGAATGATAGTTGTTCTGTAGCTTAATTGTAATTTTGGTGTGATTGTAGGACTTGGAGGAGGTGAACACCTCCTTTACTTACTCCGTCATCTTGACAAAAAATCCAAGAAATTAATACATTATATATTTCCGGATGCCTCATTGTTGCAGAATTTTTAGGATGGGAATTCACATGGGCTTTAAATACTGTCTACATGTTGATGACACTGGAGTTAATCTGTCTAGCCCTATCCTCTCCCATGAACTATTTTTTAAAAATAAAGTTTTTCTCTTTAATGCTCTGTGGATGTTCAGTAAATTTTTGTCAAATGAACGTACATTGTGTTTTAGATATTGACTTGTACTAGATGTATAAATTTTAAAATATTCATTAATTTATAAACTCAATCGTTATACCTAACTTTTAAACATTATTAATAAAACAAAAATTAAAGAAAGAGTAAGTTTTTATTTAGGAATATATCCCAAGAAACTAGAAACACCAATCAGAAAGGATATATGCACCCCTATGTTCATAGCAGCACAATTTACAATAGCTAAGATTTGGAAATAGCCTAAGTGCCCATCAGCAGATGGGTGGATTAAAAAACTGGTACATCTACACAATGGAATACTATGCCACTATGAAAAAGAAGGAACTCTTACCATTTGCAACAGCATGGATGAAACTGGAGAGCATTATACTAAGCGAAATAAGACAGAGAAAGATAAATATCACATGATCTCACTCATTTGTGGAATATAATGAACAACATAAACTGATGAACAAAAACAGATCCAAAGACAGAGAAGGATCTATCAGACCGTCAAACCTCAGAGGGAAGGGTGTGGGTAAGGGGGAGAGATCAACCAAAGGACTTGTATGCATGCATACAAGCCTAACCAAAGGACACAGTCACCAGCAGGGGTGAGGGCATGGGTGGGGTGGTGGGGGCAATGGGGGAATAAGGACACATATGTAATACCTTAATTAATAAAGAAAAAAAAGTTAATAGAGAAACCAGAAAATATAACTGGGGATAAGGAGTAAATGGGGCAAACTTGCTAGTCATCCTAAAATACTAGTATTTGATATATCCCCATTTGGTTACATTACTTTAATAAAATATATTTTAACGCTAAAAAATGCTTTTAATTTAATACTTTCAAAAGTATATTTTATCCCTTGTTAGAATTGGTTAGATGCTGGACTTAAGTTATTGGGATTATTTTTTTTTCTTTTCAGTTATGATCTTCTAATTTCTAAATAACATTAAAATTTAAGTGTAGATATATTTTATAGAAGTTAATTTTACAGCCATTTTTGTGCTATCTAGTACTTTACATACTTTTTAAAGTAATGGTGGTGGCGTTGTTTTAACTTTTCTATTTTAACACTTTAAGGATGCTTTCTCTTCCTTACATACCTTTGCGGAATGTTACTTCAATTAACATATGAGATATGGTCATGCACACTTCACACATCAACCAATATTTGACATCATATTTATAGCTATAATAATAAAAGCATAATATGCTAATTAGACTGGACGTCCTTCCAGACAACCTTCCAGATGAAGCCATGCTGCGAGGGAATCCCAGGTCCCAGGTGCCAGAGAGAAACAGGTGCTGGCAGCCAGGGGGAGGAAGGCCTACTCTTGCAGAAATTTCATGAATCGGGCCTCTAGTTAATAAAATAATTACCTATTCTACTAACCAATGCATTAATTGAAATATTTTTCTCTCTTTCATTTCAAATTTGGACCTACCCTTCACTCCTCTCTTTTTCATATGATTATCACCAAAACCAGGTTTCTACATTGTCCTCAGATAGAAATATCAGTTAACTTTACATATTTATGAATGCTTATGAGTAACTGTCTCTAAAATATTTCTTTTCTGAAACATCTAGAGAGCAAGTCACTATAGATGAAGATTATCTGAGGGTATGGAGCACATGTGTTTCAGACAACATGTCTTTTATTGGAGAAAATAACAGAGCAGGAAAAAAAAACTGATTCCAAGTCTGATATCTCTTAGTGTTTTCTTAGAGAGCCTCAAGCTCAATGTCTATCTGTGGGAGTTTGTTTGGACTGTTTTGAATCATGCATGTGTGTTGTTTTTTATCAGATATAGATTTCCAAGTTAAAGAGTCCACCTTCAGCAATTGCTTTCCATCAGATTTAGGAAAAGAACTTGTTGAGAATGCCTTAAAGCTTTCAGTTTTGTAAGCTAAAAGTATTTTAGCACTGTAAATTATCCTTTGTACTTTAAACTTTGCAAACATGGTCTGGTTCGTAGTTTTTAAACCATGATGAATGTTTCCAATAAACCTGATTATGAAAATAAAGAACTTTTGTTATGGAGAGGTTATTAAACAGATGATTGTGCATTATCATTCTCTTGTCCTAAGAGAAACCCACTCCAATGGAGACTTTTATCCTCCATTATCTGAAGTATTGGGCACTCAGTTCTACACATTTATTACTTGTTTAATAAGGATGAACTTAAGGGTTCTGTTATTGTGTTGTTGTTTATTTTTGTTTTGCAAAAGAAAAATGGGTATTGAGGCCATTTTCCAAAATGGTTTTCCCTGGAAAGTTTTAACGAATAAGGAATAAAATAATCAAGTTAAATATGTTAATACTGGGCAAAACTAGCGAACCACAGGAGACAGTTTGGCCTTGATTTTTAGGGAGCTCACATTTGTTGGGTACATATGTCTTTATCACAAAAGAAGAACTCGTTTTGGATATATTGACAAGTTAGAATTTTTTGTTGTCAACAGGTTTGGCAAACATCGAAAAGATGACAAGATTGAGAAAATGAGTAAAATAAAAATACAGGACTCCCTTACTTCAGAAGAGGAGAGAATACGAATGAAGCAGGAGCAGGAGAGGTAGACATCAGTTATTTGATTAAACCTCATTAGATAGAGGTTCTTCTTTTCTTTCTACTCTTTCTTATTTTTTTTAAGTATAAAGAATTTGGCCCTGGCTGGTGTGGCTTAGTTGGTTAGAGCGTTGTCCCATATACCAAAAGGTGGCCAGTTTGATTCCCAGTCAGGGCACATACCCAGGTTGTGGGTTCACTCCTTGGTATATGTGGGGGTCTGTGCGGGAGGCAGCTGATCAATATTGTTTTTTTTCTCTCTCTCTCTCTCTCTCTCTCTCTCTCTCTCTCTCTCTCTTTCTCTCTCTCTCTCTCTCTCTCTCTCCCTTCCTCTTTCTAAAATCTATAATTTTTTTAAAAAATAATAATTGTAAAGAATTTACATTCAATTGATTTTTATTTTTTCTGCATGAATCCAAATACTGATGGTTATGGGATGAATACAATGCAAAAAAGGTTCAAATGAAAGAAAAACTTACACTTTTTTAGGGCATTAAAATTGATTTTATTGGTTTTAGTTAAGCCATTTGCACAGGAAGTAGTAAAGCATTACATGCTTGCATCTGGAAGAAATAAAGAGTGTTTACTCAGTTGGCTTCAAATTTAGTGTTCAAGTTCCCAGAATTCTGACATCAGAATCAGAATCCATGTAATTCAGGTAACCTTTGCATTTAGGTCACACATTGTCATTGAAACAGCTTGACTTTTAAAAATTAACCTTTTTATAGAAAAATATATTTTTCTATAGCAAAGTTTTTCATATTTCCTCTGACCTCTTCAATCAGAAGAAGCAAATCTAAATGGGATTAGTTTCATCAATCATTTTATACACACACACACACACACACACACACACACACACACACACACATATTGTTTATCATGAAGAGTAACAAAAATTTTTAAGCATTTACTATTTACTCGAGCCAATTAAGCTTTATTTCTCATGAGAGCTGATTTAGGTGTATTTGGAATTGCACCATCTCTGAGTTGGAAAAAACTAGGTGCTTTGATGCTTGTGAAAGCCCAAACATAATGTGAGCAAATGAGTGTCCATGAGTGTGTGTGTGTGTGTGTGTGTGTGTGTGTGTGTGCACGCCTGTATTTTGGTTAATTAAATATTATTCTAGTATTTTATTAGTAAGTGTAAAAGGGAAGTTTTTGTTGTTTCACCATATATTAAATACAGAATCCTATATAATAAAAGAGTAGCATGCAAATTGCCCCCTTGACCGGGAGTTCAACCAGGGGGCACAGCTGGCCAGGGGAAGGGAGGGAGTCCCTGGTGGCGACAGGCAGCCAGGGGAAGGGAGGGAGGCCCCAGCCAGCTGCCACCAGCCGCTAGGGACCCTGCCAGTGCACCAATTTTGTGCACTTGGCCTCTAGTATAATATAAAATGTTTATTTTTATAACATTCCCTTTCTCAGGAATCTCTTACCTTTGTTAAGAAAAGGAAAAGATTTTAACATTAACAAATTGATATAAGACAATATAATCAATTGTGAAAATAGGTAACTGTAGAGTTTGGGGAAGGGAAGAGATTGGTGGGGCTAAAGTTATTAATAAGTGCTTTATAGAAATGATTATTTGGATGTAGGTTTAGCTCCCAAGAACTTATGCATTTAGAAAAATGGAAAAATTCTGTACCCACAGCCAGTTCTTCCCTATCCTTCACCCCACACAAGGGTCCTGGAGAGTGGGCAATCTTTTAAATGCTTATATTCTTTAAACATTTTGGTTGTATTAGTGGTTAGTAGTATCTCTATGAATGCTTTTCTTCTATTTCTTTAAAAATTTTAATTATTTTATCTGGTATCACCTCATTTTAGCATTAAGGGATGAAACAACTTTTCCTCATATCTATAAGATAGGTTAAAGAGCAAAACTTCAATCATAGAAATTTGAAGATATAATTATCCCTATTGAACAATTCATGAATCAGACAGCATCTCATCTAGCAAGTAAACAGGTACTCTGAGGAACCATGAAAAATAGAAGGTTTTTGTAGGAAACTAGGCTGGACAAGAAAGCCATTAGTGAAAGAAAAGAAAGGATTGTTTTAGGCAAGGACACCTTCCTTAAAGAAGGTGGGGGTCTTCTCAGGCAGATGGTCTCAGCTTCCTTTGGGGGAGATGGAGAGGCCCACACGACAGATTACCTCATTGGTGTTGACCAGAAAATTCAGACTCACTGATTGAGACTACATTTCCAGAGAAGGTTTGAAACCCAGTTGGTATCAAGGTGAATCAAGTCTAGGTTCAGTGTTATGGGCTTTAGCATGATAGGGCCTCCATTTGGGGCCTGTGGTTTTCTCTTTAACAGGTACCACTATTGATTTCAATGTGTGTTCATCCCTTGAATTGGAAATGTGTCTTTAAAACAGTTGTTCCTACTTGAGAAAAAAATTTTAGGACCCATTTTGAATACTATGTAAGTCTTTTCAATGAGCTTTTACTCCAATATTACAAAAATAATAAAAATCTCACTTAAAATTATGACTTTTTTTCTACGATGGTTTTTACTGTTATTGCTACTGAAATGGCATGTTGTACATATTTTTAAAGTAAGAAATTTAGTGAAATATTGTCCCTCATTTGGGAATTCAGCATAGACACCAAGTTGGCAGTTTACATATTGGTGGATGGCGTTGCTTAGATTTCCCTAGCAGGGTAAGCTAAAGCTTTGATGGGTTGAGCCACAGTATTTCTGTCATTTGCAGAAGTGTTTTGAGGAGCATATAGAGTATTTAACTAGTTGACTAAAAACTATATTGAACTGTTTCTTCCATCTGTCTTGTAGCATAAATTTCATTCTTCTGTGAATTTAGGTTTTATTTAATGAATTTTTGTAATACTGATTTTTACACACAGGAAATACTGTTGGGAAAAAAACAACAGGAACTTTCTTATTGTTTCTGGGTGGCAGTACAATAAGTTTGGGTAAAATGTTTTCCAAAAGAGTTGATTGTATGATCTTCAACATCGTTTTGAAGGTAATTGATTAACAAATATCTAATATGTAGCAATCTGAAATTTATCTTTAAAATTTTTGGTACACTAATATTAGTACATTTTATCTTCTGTAGACATTAACAGCATTTTTAAAAATTAAAATCATTTAAGGTCAATTTCTCTTTTTTTGAGTCTTTTGAAAAAATGTAACATTGATAGTTTTATGTATTGAAGCTTCTTAAGCTTTAGAGATTGAAGTATTTGGGGTATAATGGAGTAATTTAAGTATGCAATTGATTTTCCATCCTTAGGAGTTGATCATTCCTTTTTTGGACATATAAAGATTTTACTTCATAGTCATAAAATAGTTATTCTCATCTTACTCCATTGCAATTAGTGATAAAACCATCTATAATAATAAAAGAGTAATATGCTAATTAGACCAGACGTCCTTCCAGATTAAGCCAGGGCTGTGAGGGAAACCCAGGTCCTGGGTGCCAGAGAGAAGCCAGTACCAGCAGCCAGGGTGAGGAAGGCCTACTCCTGCATGAATTTCATGCATCAGGCCTCTAGTTTATTACAAAAGCAAAAATCCTCATGAATAGAAATGTTACAGGAACAGAAGTCTTGTATGTTTTATCTTCATCATGCATCATGCATCTTAATTAGAGAAAAAGGGTGGTGAACACTGTGACAAGAGTCTGGAATGAAAATCATTAATTGATGTCAAGCTGGAGAGACTGTTAGTATGAATTTAGTGACAGCGGGGCAGAAATTAACCTTATTACCTTATTTAGCATATTACATTATTTTGTGTATTATTTTCTATGCAGGTTCAAGGCTACTTCATTACCATCATGGAAAAGACTCTTTTTTTCCCAATTACAAATTGAAATGATAAATTCTTTTAAATTTTAGTAAAAACATTAAAGGTTTTAAGCTTTCTTTCTCCCTCCCTCCCTGCCTCCCTGCCTCCCTCCCTGCTTCCTTCCTTCCTTCCTTCCTTCCTTCCTTCCTTCCTTCCTTCCTTCCTTCCTTCCTTCCTTCCTTCTTTCTTTTCTCTCTTTCTCTCTTTACATTTCAAGGCTCGGGAAATAGTCCATGATGGTGCTGCCCAGCAACATTAGTCAGTACAGCTATCTGTGATCATTTAAATCTCAGAATAGCTCTGTTGTTTATAAGTAGGAAGGAGTTTCTGAAAGCAATATATATTTATTTCCTTTGCTAAGTTTTGGGCTAATCAGTTTCTTCTGTCATTGTTGAGGTTTGGCCTCAGATAAATAAGATAAATGTTAAACAGCAACCTGACTTTTCAGAAAAAGAAATGACTCATATCTTAGAGATAATTTGTGACTTCAGGTTCACACACACACAAAAATAGAGGGCCTGTTTGTTTATGGTATTGACCATCTGGAACCATTGTGGGCTCAACCATAAGACACTATATTTTTTAAAAGTTTCCTTAAGGAACTATACTATTTTTATTAGGTCCCAAAAATATTTTCTCCCCTCAACCAATTATTCCTTTCCTGAAGTAAATTTCTCCATAAAGAAGGGAAATATATAACATGTAAATAAAACTCTGGTTGGGTTACAAAGTTTATTTTCTCAAATCAAATCATAATAAGCAAGACATTCAAGTATAAAAGTATATAATAAAACCATTTGTGTATTTTGTTACTTTGACTTAATTGTCACTAAAATTCCCCAATCTACAATACATTCCTAGTTTTTAAAATCTACTTTTGAGTGACATTTGCACAGCAAGCTTCCTTAGTGTTTCCTTCTACAATGAACTTTAAAATGTACAGTAATTCAGGCTAACCATCAGATTGTGTAGCCTTGTGCAACACTTCTCTCACCTTTGTGGGCTGCAGGCATGCTATAGTTTTAGTTTAATGTTTTCATTACAAGTATGAGCCACCAGGGTAAAGGAGGGGTGCACACAACTTTTATAACTAAATTTATAACTAAATTCATTGGTGATGACAATGTTAACAATAAAAATATAATTTCTTTTGTTATTGGAGCTTATAAAAAATCAGAGTTTATTGG